TTTTTTTTTTAGCAAGGCTGGCTAATCTTCAGAGTTAACAAAAGGGAACAATTTCAAGTTCAACATGGAAGTTCGTAGTCCATAAGTGACAGTTGAATAGTAGCTCAGTCAGCTTATTCTTCATCATGACTCTAATCTAACTAGTTCTGATCTACAGTATGTCTGTTAAAATAGCTCAAGAAACTCCTCAACTTGAGGCAGCAGATTATTCCCAAACAGGAGTGTACAATTTGCCCTTATATGACTGATGATCATGTAACTGATATCTATGCGGACTGGTTTGATCAAACTATCACATTCTCATCAGGAAGGATGGTAAATATCTTCCTACAACTGGAAGAAACCTTTATGTCCCTTTTTTATTGTGGGGATTATCCAATCCTAGACCAACAATTCAGAGGTACTGTTGCCAACATCCATGCAAAGCTGCAAGTGTGTAAATCAATAAAACCCAATATTGTCCAGCACTGTAGGAATCTCAGTGAATTTTACAAAGTCCTACCCCCAAAGTCCCAAACCATGTTCCCTTCACTGTCTGACAACTGAAAATACTTAGACACCAGTAACACTACAACACTGCTGTAAACAGTTAGCAAAGCAGTGTTTGACCTTCCTGAGACATCTAATGGCCTGCCAAGGTTTCTTCAAGACTGGTTTGCCATCACGAGACACCAGACAAACCACCTTACAGCTGAAGACTGGATTTAACTTGTATACTTGATTACTTTCTTTGTAAAGTGCTCTGGTATTAATTTACTTTTGAAGATTCACTAAGTGAACACACCAAACTGAACTGAATGACTGTTAAAAAAAGAGCAATCATCCTACAACCAATGGTGTCCTTGTGGCAAGAACTCGCATGAACAACATTTATTCTCAAGGAGGGGAGCTAGCTGAGGTGCTTCAGGTATCAAGTAAAGGTGTTGTATGGACACCTTCCAAAGTATGTGTTGCAGACATGTCCCACCAGGAGGAGGCCTTAGAAAACCTCTGGACAGACTTGGAGTTTCTCAGATGAGTTAGTAGATGCTAAAGACAGAGGGCTGTCTGGGCAGCTTTTTTTTTAATTTTTATAAAGTACTCAGCTTTTTAAAGAATATCAGATGAGCACCTATACCAACAAAGTCCAACAGTCCAAAAACATTCATGCCAGGCTGCCTTAAGGCCCAGGCCTATTTGCAAAAGAGAGCTGTGATCTCAATGGGAGAATAAAAGTTAAATTAATAAAATATATAAAAAATAAAGTACAGCATATTTAATCATACATTCATCTCAGAGAGACTAATACGTACAGCATTGTCTCCAAAATCTTTGGTGAGTTGGTCAAATTCAGCATCGGTCAAGGGTTTGATTGACTGCTGCTGCACACTCATTGTGAACAGAGGCTGGAACAAACGGAGACAAAAACTTACAAGAAATATGCACATTTTAAAATTATTATTGGAATTGTTCATTTAAGATTTAAGTTTATAAAGGTACAGTTAAAAGCAACAACAATAATGTGCACTAAGCCATCCTTGTGGAAATAGGTGTAATTGCATGCTTCAAATCTTGAGCTTTTAGATTGGTTTAGACGAGCGGTCTGCAATTTGAGGCTCTAGGGCCACATGCGGATCTTTGGTCCTTGGTCTGCGGCCCCTTGAAGATTTGACCAAACATAAGTCAAAATTTAAAGTGTAATTTAAAGCTAAAGACAAGTTGCTTAGAAGAAATATGGTGAATCAAATATATAAACCTAATTAAAGATAATGTAAATACAAAATTCAGTTTTTAAATTAAATTTTTAAAATGTCGCAATTGCATATCCAACAAAATGATCTACTTCTTAGACACACTTTTAAGGTATGTTTTATTACTTTTAAAGTTATATGTATATACACTGGTACATACATACATACATACATATATATATA